GGTATTTACTGGTTCTCCAAACTACTCAAAATTTCCTCTACTGGTTCTCCAGAACTGGTCAAAACCTGCTGAATACCACCTCTGACGTTCACCCTCTGTCCAGTGGCTGGTCCGTGGCTAGTCAAAAAATACTGAGGTTCTCTCTACAAAACTGTGTCATGGGGGCACCTGCAACGTAACTAGTACCACAGAGACGCTTCTTAAATATTCCCTACTAAAGTAACATGTTGCAATATGATTTATCAGTTTTGTTATGGACATTTTGCTTTTCAACTGCCAGAATGTAATGCAATGTGTCCTATACATTACAAATGTGTATTGGTAATAGATTTTATTGCTTCTCATACTTTAGGAAATTCTAATGTTCTCCATCTATATTGAGACTGCCACTCAGAATTCCAACACCATCAACAGAAAATGGTCAGATTAGCTAATAATCCTAGCAACTGCACTCACACCTTTGGAGGGCACTAGGAGAGGCATAAATGCCATGTTTCCCCGAAAATACGACAGGGTCTTATTTTCTTTTTACCTACAAAATATGGCTTGGGCTTTATTATGGGGGGGAGGGTTTATTGTTTTGGGGTTGCCGGGAGGCTGCTCTTTTACGAGCGGGCTCCCAAAAAGCCGGGCACAGCATCATGGGAGAATGGCTGTCTTGTGCTGTCACAGCAGTGCAACACAACAGCCATGAAGCGACCACGCTCATGAGCAGCCACTCAGCAAACCCCCTTTGCAGCCGGGCACAGTGCCATTCACTGACCTAGGGGTATCGCCAAGCCGTATGTTCCCCGCTGCCTGGCTCCCGCGGCTTGGCACCTTCCAAATGCCAGTGAATGGCGCTCTGCACGGCTGGAGAGGGTGGTTGTGCCAGCAGCTGTTCCGCTCTCGCTCACCCGCCTCCCAGCCTCACAATGCATGGCCCAGCTCCCATTACGGAGCCAGGGCACATCCGCCGCCGCCGCCATCCCAGCCTGGCTTTTTCCGTGGCTTCCAACCCGAGTCTTTCAGCAGTGGCTGCTCTGGGCGCATGCTGGAAGCCATAGAAAAAGCCAGGCTGGGATGTTGCACTGATAGTTTTGCAGAGATTCTGGAAACATTTCAGGATGTTTTGGATAGGCAGATATTTGAAGACAATTTATTACTAATTGGCAGGCAAAAAAATCTTGTAAATGATTTCACTAAAGTTTTAAATTTTAATGAGAATATTGATCATAGTTTATTGAGGAAACCACCATTGACTGTATTCATGCAACACTGGGTGTCTTTGGGTCAGTCAGTCTCTCTCTGCCTAGATTGTTGTTGTAATGGGGAGGGAAAGGAAGAGGAAGGTATGTTGGATATATCCAATATCTGAGGGGTTGCCACAAAGAAGAGGGAGTCAAGCTATTCTCCAAAGCACCTGAGGAAAGGACAAGAAGCAATGGGTGGGAAGTAATCAAAGAGAGAATCAAGTTAGAACTGATGAGAAATTTCCTGGCAGTTAGAACAATTAATCAGTGGAAAAACTTGCCTCCAGAAGTTGTGAATGCTCCAACACTGGAAGTTTTTAAGACAAGATTGGATAACCATTTGTCTGAAGTAGTGTAGGGTTTGCTGCCTAAGCAGGGGGTTGGACTAGAAGACCTCCAAGGTCCCTTCCAACTCTATTATTATTTTCTATTCTATTCATATGTTGGGTTGTTTGTAAAAATAATAAAGTTGGGATACAAATAAATAAAAATAAGCATGCTTAACCAAAATTATACAAACCATATTATGGCTTAATGCACTGTGTAAATCAGTCCTTTACCTACTGATTATGCAACATTAATTTGAAAGTAAAAAAATTAAGTGGTGGTCATTTTTTAAAGTAGTAGAAATGTAATCTTTCTTTTGAGTGGGCAACCCCTTATGCATGCCTACCTGGATAAAATTTCCATATAATTATCTTTATTTCTGTAAGCACCAAAGACTTGTTGCAATCCTTTGGAATTACTCATTGTTTCGAATTCTCTCCAGTTTTTCTTTATTGGGGTGAGTTTCCCATCACACTTAATAGGCTTGTCTTTTGCTTTAATCAAGAAGAAGTTTGAATAGCTTACATTCCAATCCACAATAAGAAAGATAGAACAATCATAAGAACAATCTGAACAAAACAATAAATCATCATGCTGGAGGACAGGTTGAGCTTCAAGAGATATTCTTTCTTAACACTTTTTAAATTCCTTCCTAGGACATTTTAAGGAGTAAAATCCTAGCAAGAGGATAAAAATCTGCAGCTTACCAGGATGGCAGGAGCCTCAGTAAAAGTGGCAGTGCGGGTGCGTCCCTTCAATTCCCGAGAAATGAGCAAGGATTCCAAATGCATCATACAAATGACAGGAAACACCACAAGTGAGTAACTTCTCCGTCATTTTCTACTAGATACTTTAAATTGCATTTAAGCCTCTTTTCTTCTGTTTCTGATTGATATTAATCAAAGAGGGGATGTGAAAAAGCTTAGTCAAAGCAATTTTCTAATTTACTATACAGATAGTAGAATAATTTAATTGTTTATTAAGCCAACCATTGCTTTACCAAGCATTGTCCTGTGGTAAAAATACGTATGATAACTATTTTGATATTGTTGTTTCTATGATACCATTTCCTAATAATAGCAGGAAGTTGGATCAAATAGGAAGCTGAAGCCTTTTTTTGATTCATGTAGATACAGTTCTGACTGTAACATTATGCAATGCTAAGGCATAATTTTGAATACTTGTATTTTCTATGTAATGATCAAGTTTACTCTGCAATATTTGAAGAGAGAGATGGGGTAGAAACTCCTGTCTTCTGGACAGTCATTGGGAAGTTGTTGAAAATGAACCATTCTCCTTTGAATTGGACATTTTCCATTTGGCAAGCATAATGTTGCAAGGTCATTTAGAGTCTCCCCGCCCCCCGGCTTTACATTGATCAGTTAATTAAACATCAGCATTGGCATTAATATTGACACTAAATAATTGCTATTAAGGTAAACCATAACATCCATCCAAATTTGACATAGTTGAGGTTCCTGCTTCTGAAGTCTTGCTACTTTAACTTTATGATTTTTTTCCCCTAATATGACAATTAAAGAGGCCTTATTAATCCATAACTCAAGTGTTACATTTTGTAGAGTTTTCCAAGGTTGCACAATTATTAATTTGACTGTAGTAATTAAATAATCAATTCCTGATTGTAAAGCTCATTATCTGATCCTCTAAATAAATGTAACGAGCTTAACTCTGGAGAGCATTTAGTTCTTTGTTTGGTGATAATACTTGTTTTCACCAAAAATTCTTCCTCTCCCCACCAGACAGAAGAAGTAGGACAGGACAGAAGAGTTGTGGGTTCTTGATTTCTCAGTAAACCTCTTAAAATAATCCATTTTAAAGACAATCTAACAGGGTTGTTCCTGTCATCTGCATGTTAACCCCACAGACTGCTGACCGCAGAACCTCCCCCCCTCCCACCTGCCGGACAAAGCATCTAGAGCAGAGGAAAATAGTCATTAACCCCTCCTAGTCGATATGAAAACACCTCCTTTTTGTATTTTTACGGGATTGCAGTTCTGTCTCCTTAAGTCTTAGGTAGAGAAGAAGGAAACATGATTTGGCTCATCTGAGAAAGAGACAATTCCACCCCCCCTCCCTTTAACCATTTTTGGGGGGTATTTATGGAAGATGAAATATGTGTTATGTAGACACTCAGGCGATTGGGCTGGTAATCTATTATTGAAAACAGAGATGATTTACTAGGGTCCTTGAAGAGCTAAGTATTTAAATCTTTTGTATCCATGAATGGGGCATCTTAAAAAATAACTCTGCAGTGTTTCAATTTTGGCCTAACGAAGGCCCTCTTTCATTATATAAATTTACATATCGTAGTTTAGGACTGGCAGTTATTGAACAGGAATTGTCCACCATGGCTGTGGAGCATAATTGGAAGAAAAGGATGGGTACAGGAAGAAGTACATCCTTGCAAGACTAAGGAGTGTCAGCACTGCAAACACAAAGCTGTGTATGATTAATCTGCCAGCAGCCTGCATCATAAACTGCTCCTAGTCACAACTCCACATGTACATAATAAGTGACTAAGGTACTTAGTCTTGGTAAAAAATGTTTTTTCCTTGCCCAGCTGTATTTCAGCTGCTCGGTTATTTTAATGTATTTTATTAAATTTGAAGTACAAGGAGTAAAAGGACACTAAGAGGCAAATTGTTCATGTTTTCATTCATACAGTACCCAGACTTTATATAAAGTAGACTGCTATTTGGGGAGCTCAGTTTCCAGATAACTTTCAAAATTCTCTATTTTTTTTATTATGGATCCCTATTTCTTAACAGGTAACTGTGGGCCAGAGCGTCTGCAGAGCTTCTGATTCTGCCATTACTCCTTTATTAAAATGTTAGGCATTCTTAATGCTATTTTGCTTTCTGTCATAAAGTGCCAACCGTTATAATGGTATACTCCTAAATCCTTTTTATGCCCATGATGGTTTCTTTTGATTGAACGTCTAGATTTTATGGCTAAGTTTCATCACAAGCTTTGGCTTCTCACCTCTTCTTTCCCTCTCTCTTCTCCCAGCGGCTGTAAGGACTGGACTTCTAGGTGTATTTTATAACAGATAGGAGTGGAGGCTGATAGAGAACAGGGAAATAAACAATTGAAGAAATTCTAGATTCATTTTTCTGCTTATCTGGCAGTTTTGAAGAGACAATAGAAATCTCTAGATTGTGGCCTGGCAATCCTATGTAGAGATTTATAAAGAAATATGATTACTCAATATTAGGCTGTGCCTAAATATTGACTAGAGAAGACTATTAAACATGTTCATGCAGTAGTGTGCTTCTGCTATGGAAGTTACCAACATTTTTGTTTACTATTTTAAATTTTTTAGACATGGGTATCAGTCAGAGGTGGTATTCAGCCGATTCTCTCTGGTTTGGGCGAACCGGTAGCGGCAGCTGTGGGAGGCTCTGCTCACCTGCCTCAACGTAATGCGCGACCTTCTGCACATGTGCAGAAGGCTGTGCACATGTGCAGAAGGCTGTGCACATGTGCAGAAGGC